GCTGGCGGTCGTCGAAAAGGAGGAGGAGGTGGAGGTGGAGGAGGAGGAGGAGGAGGAAGAGATGATGGTTGTGGTAGAGGAGGAGGAGGAGGAGGAGGTGGAGGAGGAGATGATGGTTGTGGTAGAGGCGGAGGAGGAGGAGGAGGAGGATGGGAAAGAAGAGGAGGAGTAAGAGGATCAAACAAGGGTTAGGGAGAGATGAGGGAGCAGAGTAGATAGTGTGCAAAGACGGAAATGGGAAGGAGACTGTAAGAAAGTGGAAACGGTCGAAGAAATCCAGATATTCAAAGCAAATCAACTTTTGCATTTTTCACAAGTTTTTGGCTGACGGGTACCTTTCCCTCAGATGTCTTGCGAGGCCTTAAGTTCTCAGGCGCTTGCTGCCGTGGACAAGTGCAAAGAGAGTCTGGAAGTCACCAGGGAGACTTTCGATCAGTTTGTGGTTAAGCTTGTGTGTGATGAAGGTCATGAAACGTGTGGGATGACACAGAACACGGTTGCTGTTGTGAAGATGATGATTCAGAAGCAATTAGATGAGATGGAAACCTGTCTAGACTACATCTTTGCGTGTACAAACCAAGCAAGGCAGCGCTCCATGGAATCGGATAAGATTATCGAGAATCTCGAAAAAAAGCTAAAGGAACAGGAAGTGAAGATCCAAGAATACGACACGGAGTTAAACGTGAAGCAGAGTTCTCTCTGCAAACTGGCAAGGGAGCTAGAGCAGTTACAAGGTCAACTCTGGCTTCAGGTGACGCAGACACTGACATGACGAGCTGGACGTTGATAGCATTAGCAGGGAGATCACGAAGCGATGATAAACATCATCAAGAATGCGACCCAGAAGATACGTAAGTCACCATCATGTCATTGTCACCATGTGACAAACCTGCAGAGCATTTCGAGGGATATATGCTTTCACGAGATGAGTATGTCAAAGGACTCGTGAAGCAATTTGAAAATCTTGAAGCAATCTCGAAAGCAGACAAGGATGTCAGAGAAAGGGATGAGAGCATGAAGAATGATGACGTCTTGTCTTACCTATATGAGAATCTCAGAAAGCAACACGCGAACCTTCTTAGTCTTAACGAAGAGCTGGAGGCCATGTACAGCAATGCAAAGGAGGAAGTAGAACAACAAAACCTTGTCATCTTCGCTTTGAACGAGGAACTGAAAGACACAAGGAGACAATACCTCAACTCTACGATGAAACTCACGCAGAGATTGGTGACATGTGAGAACGCAAGGGCATGGGCTACAAACAGCTTCAGTACCACAACTGAGCACCTCAATGAGGTTCAACAAAAGCTCGACGATCAGAAGAGTGCAATCGAACAACTGTTGATGCTGAACGTGCAAATCAGTCAAAAGCTAGATCAGCTATGCTTCAGAAATTCGTCATCTCTTGACTTCTTGAAGAAGACTTTCGAGCGCGACCCTCTGCAGCAGAATCTGGATCTCAACTCGTTCGATGCAGAGGCACTGAGGTCCCTTGTCGGAAAGGCGATTCATCAACGGAGCATAGACCGCAAAGCCATCTTGTTCTATGTGAAGCAACAAGAAAACAACTGCAAGAACCTTTTCACGGACGTCAACCAAGCACTGATCTCGCAGCTTCAGTCACCTGGAGACCTCGAAGATCACGAATCTCCCATGGATCGCCAGATACCGGCTGAACATCCTTCAGAGCTCCAGGACGAACCGGGAAAATCGCTGCTGGGGACTCTTCTGGACTCCTTCTCAAGGTTCTTCAAAGACGATCGAGTGCAAGAGAGGGAAGCTCGAATCCCTGACACGTCAGACCCCACTCCTGGACCAGTCCTGCAAGAACCCAGCGAGGAATGTCTGCGGGTCGATCATGTCTCAGCAGCCCTTGCTCAGGGAAACAAGCTCTCGAAGATAGACGAAGAAGACGATGAAGGCACTGAGATCTCTAACGAGATGCGCGCTTCAGAGAAGATATCCTACAAAGATCCTGGCGACGAGCGCGAGGCAATTCTTGTTCGCGAAATGATCATTCCAAGCTCAAAGTCTCAGCGCAGTTGGATGATAATGTTGTGAGGACGAAGAGATCATAACAGCAATGTAATCTTAATGTCTCAATAGATTTTGATAGTTCTTGATAAGTTGAATTGCGCGTATGTGTAATAAAATCATGCAAGGAATGGGTTTTTATTCCCAAACTAGTCATTCCATTACGCAGCCGATTGCTTCATATTCAAGATCGCCAAAACTGAGATTCCTCCGAAGATCAAGATGCCCCAACCCAACGCATCATAGAACCACTCGTCGTTCCCCGCGGTCGGAGCAGACTTGTTCGAGTACTGTCCTTCCGCCTGCAGCTGAGCAACCACACGTTGATGCAGCTCAGGCGCGTTCTCCATGGCTTCAAGGAGCTGCCGGCACTTATCGTTGGTGGGGTCGAGCTCCAGCGCTCTCTCGAAATTCTTCTTGGATCGATCGAACAGAGAAAGAGCCACCTGAGTGTCGTGCTGCAAGAACGCGCGAGCATTGAGCGCTGAAGCAAGAACTATCATCGGGTGAGGATTATCAGGGAAGATGCTGAGACTTTTCTCCAGCTTGTTTATACATTGAGACAAGATCTGTGTGGCTTCATCTCCGTTCTTGAACATCGAGAGCTCTAGCAAGAGTTCTCCCCACTTGGCATACACGTTGTAGTCGTTAGGATTGGCTTCAGCAGCTGTTCTGATTTCCACCAGCTGTCTTTCGAGGAGAGAGATCATCTCGCGCGCCACGCGAGGATCTTGCTGCAAGTAGTTCATGTCCATGGTCCCTATACAACCACCAAACGATCAGATTCGAGGGCATCGACATGGTTGCCTCAAACGTTTTACACTAAATGTGAAGTGGCTTTGTCTAGATAAGAGTTTTCGATAAATCATCGTACAGTTCACTTCCTGAGACGCTTGCTTCTACTACAATTCTCGTGCTCTTTTTGTCCCATGCTTCATGGGAGGGCCGTTACAAGAGGAGTGCTTGAGAGAAGACGAGTGCATTGTAGAACTCACAACTTTGACTGAAGGAGTACAACTCATCCTGTCCTTTGAATGCATAATACATCTCCACTTATGCATTCCTTGCATCATGCAGAAGACCTACAGGCTTACTTAGCTATCATACTCTACTCCATCCCAAATGTCTCTCTTCTTCCAAGTCTCTATTCAAAGGGTCAAGTTCCCGCGTATTCCACTTCCCCAATTTTCTGCAAAACTCAATTTCATCTTGAGTATCTTGAATTTTATCTCTTTACATGCCTTTAAAGTTTCATATATTCCTCTTCTACCTCTTCCCCTCCCCTTGCATCTTCTTTCTCCCTTTAAAGTTTCATATATTCCTCTTCTACCTCTTCCCCCCCCCTTGCATCTTCTTTCTCCCTTTAAAGTTTCATACATTCCTCTTCTACCTCTTCCCCTCTCCTCGCATCTTCTTTCTCCCTTTAAAGTTTCATATATTCCTCTTCTACCTCTTCCCCTCTCCTTGCATCTTCTTTCTCCCTTTAAAGTTTCATATATTCCTCTTCTACCTCTTCCCCTCCCCTTGCATCTTCTCTCTCCCTTCCTCGCTCCCTCTCCCTTCTCCCTCCTTCCTCCTCCCCCTTCACACATTTCATTCCTCAGCGCCATGCGCCTGCACACCCCGTGAACCCCACCCCATCCATCGTCACTACCTACCTTCTCTGATTTATCCCACCCTGTAAATGAACTATACCCCCGCCAAGAGTACGAAGGGATTCCCCTATACACGATTTTCTCTTTTAAGCCTTTTAATGAATCGAGACGCTGAAGGCATGACGAGCTGAATCATATGGCATAATCTATACCACCCCCTCAAATTAATCACCCTACCCCCGTGGAATCTAACCACCCAACCCTACTGCAGGCACATGAATCCACGTTTCACAAACCGGTCCCTGCAATTCTTTTTTTATTTTACACATTCTTTTTTCTTGATTTCTTTTTTGTTCTTTTTCCGGTGCTCGGCTCGGCGACTATGGCGCCGAAAGCGGGAACGCAAGGGAGTAGGTGAAGCGAGGCGCTGCAAATCGATCTCATCCCTTCAGACTCTTATCATGGCGCATCCTCCCGACTTTCCCTTCGGTCCCGTTCACTTCTCTGCTTGTCAAGTGCGGAAGACTGTACGCAAGAGAGACTCGCGGATGCTGGCATTTAGTTTCGCTGCATTGATGCTCTCGTCCACCGTGTTCTTGCTGTACACTTACCCAATCGGTTCGAGATCTCAACAAAGCGATCAAAGCATGGCCATGGCTTCTGTCTCTTACAGCCCGCGTGGAAGCAATTCCACGAGCAAACATGGTGAAGCGGCTGGCCGAATCAGGTCTGTTGAGAGCAAATGGGCGAAAGAACTCAGTCATCTTGAGATTTCATACGTCAAGAAGATGAGAGCTGTTGACCATAAAGCAATGCAACGCCTTGACAAGCTGGGGGTCCAGCTTAGAAGCATCTACTCGCATCGGAATAATCAAATCTCCGAACTGTTGAAAGAGGAAGAATCTGGGGAGGTAAAACTTTTTGCCGAGGAAAAAGAAGATGAAATTGTGAAGTCTCTGAACGAGCTAAAACAAAGTTCTCAGAAGAAAGAGGAAGAGCTCAAACTGAAACTAAAAGATGTGCAACGCAATCTCGAGAAATTTAATCAAGGGCATGGTGTAGAGCGACACGAGTCAGGCACTCGACGACAGATCAAGGTGAAGAAAGAAGGCTCGGACTCTTCGGGGATGGAAACGGAAAAGAAAGTCAAACATCGGGATGATCTCAAGGCTCAGGTGATTGCTCTTCCAGTCACTGCAATGAAGGACGAGGACAGCACCGAAATGCTGCATGTTCATCAACTTCGTGAACAGGAAGGACGCGGTACTCTGCAGAGCGACCAGAAGCGTAATGAGAGGCAGACTACGATCAATCCGAAACAAGCTGTGCAGAAGACTTCAAGACATTCCAAGTCCGTGATCAAGGCAGACAAGAAACCGGACTGCACTGTTGAGTCGTGCTCAGTATCGCACGAAGACAAGGATTCTGCGGTGGACAGTAAGAAGGTGTCCAAGTTCATTCAAGACTTGCATGTAAGCTCCATCCATGATGCGCCAGATGATTTGATATCCTTGGGTCGCAGGAGAACAGTTTGACGAAGAAGCAGCGAGCCATTGCGATGATGAAAAGATTAGAGGCCAAGATCAAGAGCGATTACGACAAGGTTCCTTGCCGTTCATTTTAGTGCATGCGATTATCTTCCTAAGCAAGAAATTTCACAGGTGACGGCATTTGCATCGCAGCAAGAGCATGCCCTTGGTTGATCTGCATTACCATCACATTAAGTTGTCTACTATTAACATCTCCTAATATTCCGATCTTCTTCAGTGAGTTACTACATCAATCCCCGAAGTTCATCTCAGGGATAATTTGACGAGAAATTGAGTTGGAGAGGGAAACTTCACCGGATCCTGCATGCCTGGAGGGAGGCCAGGCAAGCGAATGACAAGCAGCTTCTTGTCTATAGTCTCCGTCCTTCGCCGTACAGGTGGGAGAGCTTCCGATAAGCTCGATTTCAAAACTGCGCGGCCACCACTTGCCTGTGACGATAAGCTTGCGCCCTTGCGAGCCCTTGTGGAAGGCGATACCGTTGAGAACGTCAAGCTGTTTCATTGGGCCAGCGATCTTCTCACACTCGCGTCGAAGTCCGCGGAGGTCAACCCAGCCCTGATCCTTCACATGAGCAGGGCAGAGTGGTAGGGATCGATTCAACACAGAGCTCACCAAGATTCTTCCTGACTTCGGATCAATTCTTATGATTGTCTCTGTCGGCCACAAGTTTGCCCAAAGTTCTCCCTCCACATTCTCTAGCTCGTTCAGCCGGATCGCAATCCTCACCGCCACACCTGTGCTTGCCAAGTCACTTCACGCAAAACAACACTGGAACATCAAAACCATCTGGTCGCTTCCAAACAACATCTTTGGCTTCATTGCCATGTTTGTCCACGAGCTTGACAGACTTGGTTTCAGTCCATTCTTGCTCGAGCCCGGAGCCGTCTGGCCCGTAACTCCAGAACCTTAAAACGTTGGTCCCATCTGTCGTAATCAACGAGTCACCCATTGTGACGGCTCCCCTGCCAAGAAGTTCATCCAGTGGTGGAGTCAGATTGAAGTTACCATCCTTCGTAGGGATAGGTAAACGATCCTTTCCGCTCTAAAGAGTTCTTGTCGTAGACGAGCGCAACATTCTCCTTCCATGTCAACTGAACGATAAAATCCTGATAGACCGTGATCCCTTCTCCGAATAGATCCTCATCCAGGGCAGTTTCTTGAAGCACCCTGCCAATGATTCAGAGAGATGGCAAGACGGCAATAGACGTGCTAACTTGCTGTCCTTGTAGCGTAGTCGTCGAAGCAGAGATTTTCCATAGAGTCCTGTCCCTTCCAGCATTGTGTCCTCGCCATCGAACTCTAACCCCTGTGTGAACGAACGCTGATCGTGTTCATACCTTCTGACGACTTTGTAGCCAGTTACAGGGATCTCATCATCCCAAATCTTATTGTCTCGTGCGGAGTTGTGATTCTTGCTTCTAGGATGCTCAGCTCCAGCTATCCAGGGAATGGACAAGCACGACAGCATCAGGCCCAGGACGTGGGATCTTTTCATCCACATCTTGTTCGGATCACTCTCACAGCATCCTCTCATGGTCACTAGCTTCTCTCTTGTCCTCGGTCTGCTCGGGGCGGATCCTCTTCGCTGCCATGTCGCCGATCGCAGGCTGCACGGAGCCCAACAAGCGCCGCATTGCGACATGCCAGGGAAGTGAAACAAAAAACCTGTAAAAGGATTTTCCTCAGTAGTTTCAACTGTAGGCTACGATCTTCACGATCTGAGTCCGACTTGGCAAGTTTTGCCGGCTCAAGCGGCGGCCGTTCCAATCATGCTGCCCTCACTGAACTCGCAGCCATGGTCACTGCCAGGCTCGAGCTGAGCTGACGCGGGTCAACACAAGTTCACCTGACAGTAATTTATTGACTGCAACATTCATCATACACTGGTTGAGATCATGACCCTACAGCGGTACTCTGCTCATCGAGACTTGAGGAGGCTGCGGTCTCAGCACGTGACTTGTCTTTGACGGTTCGAGCAGCTTGAACGCCACGGACGCGTTGGCGTCATCCTGATCGCTGATAGGAGGGTGAAACTCCCGAGTCTCGATGAGGTCCCAGCCATCAGGGCTGACTACCTCGTCCAGCTCAAGGAGAATCTGTGAGGCGCTTCTGCTGAAATGTCTGCTTACAGCCTTCTCCTCCTCGTCCTCCTCGTTGGTCTTGTTCGAATGCCCAAAGAGCTGCTTTAGAGACCTGCCCTCTTTCATCGCCTTCTTCCGTTCCATCACAGAAGCAGGAGGGTGCGGGGGATCCCCGACCTTGTCCACAGCGAGGATTCGAAGGAAGGAGTCGCAGACATGAACTGAGTTGACTTGCGCGTCATGTTCGAGCTGCTCCGCCTCCTTCAGAGCCTGTCCGATGATATGAAACCGTGACTGAATCTTTCCCAAGATGCCAGATGCCACCATGCCGATGGAGACGCCGATCCTGCAGCTCAGGGTGCTGTTCTCTCCCAGCGATTGCTCTTGCACGATTGTGAGCATTGAGCGCGCGAGGTCAAGCATAGAATGACAGATTTGTTTGGTTTCCTTCTTCAACCTCCATCCCTTCTCCTGCGGTAGCCAACCGGAGACGATGTAAGCATCGCCTACTGTATCCATCTTGAACAACCCCTTGTCTTGCACGATGAGATCGAACTTGGAGAAGACCCGATGGATCATGTTGGCAAGCTCGATTGGATCCATTCCTTGCGAGAGCGTCGTGAAGTTGCAGAGATCGAGCTCGAGCACGACAGCGAGCTCCATCTGACAAGGTTGCTTCATCGAGTTGCTCATCATGTCCTCTGCCACGTTGGAGGGCATGAGGTCAGAGAGGATCTCCTTGAGCCGACATGACTCGATGTTGAACACCTGATGCATCCTCCACCGGAATCGCTCCGAGCGATCGCTGACCCGGACGACGATGAGCGCGACGATGCCGGTGAGGAGGAGGATGACCAAGTCCTCCACGAGATAATTGCGCGAAGACTTGGAGACGGTCCAGGCTACGAAGGTGATGATACTGACAATCCAAACGACGAGGGCTTGATTGAATTGAATACCACAGGAATTGGACTGGGCAGCAACAAACAAGAAAGGAAAACAAAGAGTCCATGAGAGAGGAGCTTCATGCTTGTTTGCATAAACACAGATAGAGAGAAACACCAGCTTCATGATCACGAAGATCCATTGATACAAGAGCAACTTGTACTGGAAAGTCCACATCCCAGCCACAAGACAAGCGCTGCACAAACCTGAGATCACAAGATGAATCGTCAGTGCGCGAAACACAATCTTCTTTTCCTCCTCAAGCTGCGAAGCTCCAAAGTTGGCATAATTGTAGGAATACTCCGGGAACACAACCATATGAAATTGCAGGAAAACTGCGCAAAAGTGAAGAGCGATGCCAATGGTCAGCTTGAGACGGTGAGTATTCAGACTCTGATTGAGAAACAGCTCCTCTGAGGTTGCATCTTTGAACTGGCACCATAGTCTGCCGATCCTGTACTGATCGCTCTTGAGCAACTCTCTGCTCTGCGCGCTCAAGTGTTCCAACTTCATCCCAACAACGGAGGCAGAGAGTGAGGAATGCGTGGAGACCCCTGAGATGGAGGCGGATCGTCGTTCCATTCCGAGCGGATCTGACGGCCCCTTCACCTCGATCGAGAAGACTTCCATCGCCCCCTTCCCCTTGATGTCGATGGTCCCCTCAGACCGGCAGTCAGCTTCCACCATTGAGCACGTCTCCAGCAGGTCAGCAAACGCTTTCGTGCACAAGATCTGAGCCCCTTGGGAGTACTTGCACATCCTTGCCGCCGTGTTGGTCGTGTCCCCGTACACACAGTAGAAGGCTCGATGCATCCCAATGACAGCTCCTGCGACGCTGCCATAGCTGATCCCTACCTTGAGGCTCAAAGGGGTACTGCCGATCTTCTGCATCGCCGCGATGTCCATCAGGCTCTTGGCCAACTTCACCATCCTCGAGGCGTACTCAGATGGATAGCCTCTTGACTGCTCTGCCTCATCGAACGGAGCTGCAGCTCGAGGGCAGGTGATGATGTACCAGTCACCGACGTGTTGATACTTGTACATGCCGTACTGTTGCACTTTGGAATCGAATGTCTCAAAGACGGAGTCAAGGAAGTTGAAGATCTTCTGCGAAGATTCTTTCTGTATGACATCTTGAGGAGCGAGAGAGCAGAACATGATAGTACATCGCGGTATCGTGACTCCGACGAACTCCTTCGATTTCAAGGTCGTGATCCGCGATAAGACGTTCTCGGGCATCAGGGTGTTCACAAGATTTCTGCTTTGCTCTGACGCAAACCTAGTCCGCTTAGCGATCGCAAAAGTCTGCTTCTCATTCTCTTGACGAACAAAACAGAAGAAACTGGAGGAGAGACCAGCAATAATGAAGAAGACGGAAGCTGTGATGAGCGAAAGAACATATGTTCCGCTGGAAAGCACTGCAACAATCAGCAAGACCACCATGTAAATGGATATTATCAAGGTTCTTCTCCAGTGCAGACTAAAGACAATGAGCTCCAGGAAAGCATTCATGTAAATCCCCATCTGCCTGCCATTGATGATGAGCGTATCGCATCCTGACGGCTTCACATTTGCTGAAAGAAGCATGACTTTCGCAGGATCGAGCTCTTGACAGATTCTCTGGAACCTCCCTTTGGAGGTTGTGCTGTTAAAAGCAACCAGCCCGTTGTCCTTCGAAAAGAGGACGTTGCCGATCTCTGTCAGCCATGCAGACATGACGATAACGGAGACGTATTGCACCAAATACAGCGTGATCAAACATTCATAGTTCCTCATGCAAAACAAACGATACTTCTTCATGGTGAACATGCCTGCCAGCGTGCAACATATCAAACTGCTGAGCAAGTATGTCGAGCCTGGAATGTACTTCCAATCTACGAATCCTTCCTTGCTCAAATTATTCACCGAGACAAGAAAAGAGAGCAAAGCAAGGTACTGAGAGGTAAGTGAACAAAAGAATTGCGGTTGGCTGATAGTTCATCTCCTTGAATTCCTCCTTCCATTCTGATAGAAAAGTTGCCTTCATTGAGTCTTCCACAGACTTTAATCCCCCAAACAGTAGTGAGCTTCTTCGGAACAAGCCTGGAGAGCTTATTCTCCTCTTCCAAGATGACAGCATTCCCTCACTTTGCTGCAAAGAGTCTGTATTCGTATCTGACTGGTTGAAGTCCTCACCCGATTCTGCGTCAACAACAAGTTCCTCAAGGGCTGCAGCGCCCGTGCACGTACTGCTCTCCCTGCGGTCCCTTTGCTTCCTCCGCTCATGAATACTTGTATTCTCATACTCTTCGCGGCGAATGATCTGGCCGATGTGAGAGTCAGCAAGATTCTCCCCTTGTTGCTCTGATATCATCAATAGAAGCCTCTTTTGCCCTCCTTCATGGGATTCTGTTCTCCTCTTCCTTCATCTTCAAGTGTCGTCTCGTGCTGACCTGTCTCTTCCCTTCATCTAGACCTCTTCTTCATCCTCTCGCATAGCTTGGCCTAACTGACGCATTGGCACACCGCCATGGCAATCCTCTTCTATAGAATATTTTAATTCTACATAACTTGTAAAAAGAAACTTTCGGTCTTTCCTTTTGCACCTGTGAACCCCCTATTTACTTATTAAGATACACCGGTGGAGACTATGACCCCACCCCCCTGAACCCTGACACCACCCCACATCAAACGTTAAAAGGTCTTCCATCCTTTTTTCCTTGTCAACGACCTCTTGGTTGGGCAGCAACCCTCCCGATCCAACCACCCCACCTACCATTCAACCAGTCAACTGCACTACAAGTACCCCGGCAAACTCAGTCCCTACCGTCAACAAACAACCCCATCGAATCACACCGTGACCCGATCTCCGAACATCCTCTACACCCCTATCTCCCTATGACTGTTGGTCCCCTTTTGGCTACCCTACCCCCCGAGTCCGATTGCTCACTCCAAGTGACACCCCTCACATGACCATGCAAATGCGTCTACCCACCGGTGACTTTCCCAGTACCCCTCTTTCCTCATTGACTTGGTAGGAGAGCCCCCCCACCGGTGACTTTCCCAGTACCCCTCTTTCCTCTGACTTCGGAGGAGCAACCCCCGTCAGCTAATTAGCCCCTTAGCACCCTTGTCCAAGGGGCGTATGTCAGTCACGGTACGGTACGTCCCTGCGCAGAGTCACGGCCACGGTTACAACACCATAAAGCGTTACACTGAGCACCAAATTGTTTGTCAGGGCTCACGTCACCTGTGACTCTGTCACATCGACTCTCCTGATCGTACCGTACTGATCTTTAGCTTACCTTTGAGTAAAAGATTGTGAGGGTTGGTTCTCGCTGTTTTTTCTCTTACGGTATGGCCTGTGCGACCCGGTAGGCCGTCAGGGTCAAGCCGCGCCCTCCTCTACTCTCCTGATTGTCCTCGTACTGATCTTTGACTTAACTTTGAGTAATGTTTGTCCTTCGTTGATTTCTCTTTTACTGTAACGGTTAACTTGACTTCGAGTAACGGTGCCGAACTTAACTCAGTAGTGAACTGGTTGCTAGGGTGCTCACCGGGCCTTTACTCAAAGTTAAGTTAAAAATCAGTACGAGGACAATGAGGGACCTGGCCTTCAGCTCTCAGACTCAGATCATTCATTCATTCAGACTCAAACGAAGAGATTCCTTGAAAGAGCAAGCATTCATCCCCAACTGACGTCCATCCACGCCTCAACTGTTACAGCATTCAAGTCATCAATACAATTGAATGAATTCTCACGTGCAATTCAGACCTCCCTCGCAAACAGTTCAAATCCTTCTTGAAAGGGACCTTTGCCTTCATGATCCTTGACATGGCACGAAGTCAAATCTTCGAGACAGAGCTGGCAAGAAGGGGATCACCGATTCTTCCACATTCCTTGTGTACTTGCAGAGAATATCCCCAATGAATGGTTTTCGAGAATGTTGAGCTGGCATGCTGACAAGCACTTTGTGATTTGGAACTTTGAAGGAATGGACCTCTGACGCTCGACAAGCTATCAGCAGTTGCTCAAACGGTTTCTTGTGAGGAGATTCCAATGGCGAAACGAGGTCGCCCTGACAGGTGACTTTGATCCAAAACCACGTAGCACAGCACACGAGGCCCCACGAGCTCAAAATACAATCCTGGCAAGAACAAATCAAAATGAAGCGAACGGGGGTGTGAAAGTGACAAGCACAGGGTGAGCATAAGCAGAGCAGGTGAACTATTCGAGGTGGGAAAGGCAGGCTGATACAAGTCAAGTTCTACCTTTGCTGATGAAATAAGCTTCTCATCATTTGTAACCCACATAGCTAACAGCCCTCCACGCAAAAGATGTTTCCCCACGTCAAGTTTTGCGATATCTTGTGTAGACATCGTCCGGTAATATTTCCCTCGGCTCTTGCTGTATTCTGATTAGAAGCAACAACTAAAACAGATACATGAGACCTTGGCCACGGCGGATCTATGACGATCTGCCGAAATTTCTGATCTACATCGAGCCTTTTCAAAGCCTCGTTGATGTCCCCGAGGAAGAAGCGAACCGGTTGAGGGAGGACGAACATGTTCGTTTTGATACTCACGACTACTTGTTCTGTACCGTCCCATTGCCTCCAATGGTTCTCCAAGATGAAGTTGCCCTCCTCAGCTTTCTCCCCCAGAAAATCGTTGTCCGAAGAGTCTCCTCTAGTGTTAATCTGATCTATACATTTATCCAAACAAATTCTGAGTGAAACTCTACCTGCTTCGATTTCGGACATGCCTTGCAGTAAAGGCTCCCCTTGAAATTCAGAAAGCGTGCCTTCAAATCTCGAAGAGGTTGTGATAAAATTTGGAGCAAATTTGGATCCTGATTGACAGTCAATACTTTTCAACACAAGCAATGTGTCGCGAGGTACCGTAGCGTCTGGGTGGTCTTTCCATCTCCTCCTTCGCTTCAAGGCCCGTTCTCTTCGACGGATGCTTTCCTCGTCGTCTGCTTTATCAACTACTGGAGCGATGTAGGGCATGCACAGATGAAAGGCCAGGAGGGGCTTCATAGCTGAGCCACAGCACGCTGACATCTGGGCAGCGCTAGCGTCAGGGTCCAGCAACTGAGCGAGGCACTCCTGGTGCTCATGGCTTGCAGCCTGCGACATGGGTCTTCCTGTCACATCAGCTCCTTGCTCCTCGGTCTTGTCTTCCTGGCTCCGCTCTTGTCCCTGTGGTACCCGCCATGCTCCCTTGCCATGGGGATACGTCCGTCAACACGCCGGGCCCGGCAGACCAGCAGCGCCGGGTCGTAACAGCCTTGGTCCCAAATTACGTAACGGTTTTGCGAAGGGCATGGTGTGGGCGGAAAGAGACGGGAAAGGAGTCAGGCAGGGAAGGGAAGGGAGGAGGGAGAGGTGAAACTGGTGGTTTCTTTGAGATATCATGCACGTCTCATGCAAGGAGGGGGAACTAGCAGCGAGGGGCACCCGCTAACAAGGGGGGACGAAGATCCTTGGCCCCCGATGATGATTCCAAGGTAGGCTAGTTCTCAAGAGGACGCGTAGAAGATGAGGCTGGCTCGCAAGGCATGGCTCGTCCTGCTGTCCTTAATGTACAGCTCAGCATCGTCTTCCCTGCAGCAGACAGATGTGCTGCGAGGAAAGTTTTCCTCTGTCCAAGCTCGTGGGCCAGAACGCAGTGCGGTAAAAGGGAAATTCCGAAACCGCTTGGGGCAGGTGACGTCAACATGGATGAACGAGAGGCAGGAAGTGAACGATGACGATGCGGGAGTTCGGCAACTTCAGCTTGAAATTGACAAGCTCATCGATCAATGGACAGCCAACAACACCAGGGCGTCAACCCCCATGCGCTCAGTTTCTCGATCCACTGCGTATCCCTTGTCGCCATCCATGAACATGCTTCCTCTGCCTGTGACTCCATTCAGAGCTGGCTTGTTTAGAAGTTCTCCCATGAGAGCGGGCTCGGAATCACCCATGCTCAATTTCGCTGCTCTGTCCCCAGGTGGGTTTGATCTGTCAAAGTGCACAGATGGCCTGGCTCAGCTAGCAAGGTTGGTAGACAGAGAAGGATTGAAGGAGCTATGGGTGGATCCAAATGGCAACAGCATCTTTGAGGCTGTTTCTCAACAGATTCTTGTACATCCTCCTCTCCGACGACAGGCTGAGTTCATGGGTTACACTTTCGGGGTTGTTATCGAGGAGTTGGATGGGGTGAAGTTGTGGAGGATCCCTTCAGCCGTTGTGAAGATGCGCAAAGACATCGCCAGCTACTTGATGGATCTTGCAGACAAGCAGAACAACATCTTAGACGACTTGGAGGATGAAAACGTGGATGATTTCCTTTCAAGGATCGTTGAAGATCGGCAGCCTCTAGGGAACATTGCCAAACAAGTCATGGCGGAATTCTGGTCAGTACCGATCAGATGTCTGGTGATAAATGAAACTGGGTTGGTGCAAGAGTATGTATATCCTTCTTCACAGCAGGGGGAGGTTCAGAAGCTCAAAACTCAGATAACTCTCGTTGAATGCGGAGGAAATTTCTGGTCACTCGCCAATGAAGACTACTCTCCCCGGATCTCACCCTCGCCGGAATCATTTTACTCTGCTCCTTCTCGAAGTGTTCAAAGAGTAGATGATGGTGCTGAAAGAGACCGAGCTGGAGGCCCAAGTTTGCCAACCGCCTGGCATGATGAACTCTCAGGGTTGGAGGACGATGGATTGCAGCGGATGCAGCAGCGGGGTGTTTGGAAGCAGGAGCAAGAGGGTCAAGAGGAGCAGGAAAGAGAGCAGGGAGGTGAGCAGCAAGTGGAACAACAGTGGCATTGGAATAGGGAAGGATGGGACGAACAGCGGACTCGGAAGCTGCAGCGCTGGCCGCTACCTGTGAACGAGGGCGAGCAGCCAGGGAGGGAGAAGGGAGCGAATCAAGAACAGCGAGTGCGATTCGGACAAGATGGAGAAGGGGAAGACGAGAATGGGTTGGA